ATGAAATACTATGAATTTGAATAATACTTGAATAATGGCAAAAATGGTCTCTTTCCAAAACTGAAAACTACTTACCAAAACTAAAACAAATTACAGCCCTGTAAAAGGTGGTGAGTTTGCCTGTATGACAAACAGTAATTGTTTATTTTTACAACTACTTTTTATCTCTTAGAATTATATTTTAAAACAGTTAAAAAATCCATTAAATCTGTTTTTGTTGCTATCCCTTTAAGACCACCGTTCTGATTGGCTGTCCTGTATTGAACCTCATTCAAAAAAGCAGATTGGGCTATTTTATTCTACATGGACCGTTTGTATTGGGGAGTGTTTGCATAGCACATTCAGTGAGTGTGATTCAACCTGTCAACATGAACACAATACAAATATTTGCATAGGAAATCTGGTGGCTACATTTGCAGTATAGCTGCAGAATTTTCAAGCTCATAGTGCTGTCAGACGAGTACTGAAAACCATCCACCCTTCAAAATAACAGCAATTTCAGACTCTCATTATGTCTACCCACTGGAGCAGTCTATCTGTGTCATCTTACCTGCCTGTCTGATGCTCAGCCCACTCGGTGAGGCCTTCACACATCAGGGCTAGTCAGTCCAAACAATCATTCCCACTCGGATTTCACATTTCTGAGGTAAACAGTCATTCTTAACTATGAGGTTTTGCTGGTGGTCTTCCATGTTGCATGGGATCGTTTGAAAAGCGGAACCGATGTTTCACACACTGACGTGCATATATGAGTCACATAATCTGCCTCCTGATCACGGAGACGCCAAAGAATGTATAGAGAAATGCGTAGAGAGGAGAGCTGCCACTCAAACTCTAGAGGGCACCCACGAGCGAGTCCAAAATGAATGGGGTCCTTTGGAGCTTTCGCGCCAAACCTAGCTTGATCTCAAAACTGCTGTTATATTTTTGGGTGCCTTTAAACTCCAGTTATAGGACTTTCGTCATCATTTATTTTTACATGACAGTTTCTAACATCACCTTTATAATATATGCCTCATGTATGTTCATGACGTCAGTGAGCGCAGACCGCTTCACTCAGCTCACCAAACAGTCAGCATTCACTAACAAAACTGCTAGTATCCTACTGCCCAAATCCTGTTTGCTGTAGAAAAACGAAAATATACAGGTCAGACTTCTTTCATTTTTTAACAGAAAACATCCTTTTTATTTCTGAAATTAAAGGAAGGCCCTGCAAGGGTTAGAAACAAGTTAAATTTTTTGTTTTTAGGCATTTACCTCCTTTCACTCCCATTCATTGAGGACACGCTTGCGGATTCTGGTGTTTGCAGTCAGGTTTCCGATATAATGAAAGAAATAGGAAGTGGCCAGATTTCCCTTAAACTCTGTAGCAAATCGCATTGGCTGGAATTAGCTGCATAAAGTTCAGCTCCACTCAACGTTTCTACCAGGGTTATTATAGTTAACTTAAATTATTACTAAAACTAAAACTAGCAGTGAAAAAACTACTAAAACAAAACAGAATTACTGAGCAAAATCCTTTAGTTTTAGTTTTTTCAGTGCACAAATGAGAGTTTAGCAGTGTAACTCTTCTGTGTTTGGCCGTCTTTAAGGAAAGCTGGAGTCGAGCTGAGCTCAATCTACTGTTTTAATTTTATTCTACTCTTATCAAATGTTATCATAACACTAAAACCTAAAACTAAAACTGAAACTAAATAAAAACTTTAAACTGACTGAATCTGAACTAAAATTGAAAATCAAAATAAAGAACTAAACAAAAATAAAATTCAAATATCAAAACTATAATGACTCTGGTTTCAACCTACCAGACCCATTATACACCAACGCTTCCCATTAAAGAGAACAGGATACGTTGTGGTGCGTTGGTGTGTCGGATCATAAATTGGTCAAAAAACAATTTATGAATGATCCCAATCAAACAAACCACGATTTATCAACAACTTATTCAAACAAATACAACAAAAACAAACAAATGTGAGACTCTCCTCAGTCTTCAGCTTCCCGGCGTACGAGTGGCTCAAGCAGCGTTCACGAGCTAACTGTGGACACAAATCACGGAGGAAACACATCACAAGAGATTTAACAAACAGCTGCTTGGGCACTGCTGATCATCAACCAACCAACCAACTTTTTCAGACGTTGACAAGCCAGCACTCTATACGTGAATGCTCTGTAGTGTAGTTAGCTAATCTTTATATAATGTTTACACACATAGAAGATAGTGAAGTGAGCTGCTTAGCTAAAAGCACTACCTTCTTCCTGACGTCTTGCTTTAACTTTGCGTGTTCGCACCTTAACTTACCTACCAGACCTGGTTTTTGCACGGTTAATGACACGGTTAATAAGGAAGCACGAGAGGCTGCGAAGAACTAAATAAAGCTCTTTATTTCAAACCTTTGAGTGATTCAAATCACTCAAAGATTCACAACCCTACTGTGTTCACTTCCCTTTGCTGAGATGTCTAAATTATTTCCGAGGGCTTAGCAGAGACTTGTGAGAGGTCAAGGGCAGAGGCCCAAGCAGAACACAGTCAATGATTGACAGGGCCTAAGATTAGCCAGGACTAAGAAATGGAGTGGGTGGGCAAGAGTAAAGTCTTTGTGCTTATACTTCACTGACTATTGATAAAGTCAGATTAGGCACACCACAGAAACAACACGAGGGTTGCATAACCACATAAAGTGGATTTGTGGGATAATGAAGAAGGAGAATAATGAGAGTCCGTGTGAGATTAGCCCACACATTCATTCAGACTGAGGGTTTGTTATGGAGTCATGGAGTTTAGGACGGAGACCGGGCCACATTACGTACGACTCTAACGTTAGAAGGCTTTATGTAAAAAGAGCAGAGCACAAGTCTTCTGATAAGAGTACAGTGGGTGTGGCTAATATAATCAGAGTTTTATGGATATTATTAGGTGATCAATCAGCTTAACATGAAGTCATATTATGACAATGACTCTTAGGAAAAACAATCAGATGTTAGTATCTACGAGTGGACAATACGACAATATTAGGGCTGTCGTTTTTGAATATTCTGTCAAATATTTTAATATTAAAACATTCTATGAAAAATAAGAAAAGCTCACAACGTTTCATTCCAGTAACTGAATGGAAAAAATTTATTCCTATTCTTGCTATTATTATTATTATTATTATTATTATCATCGTCATTTTTTTTTTTTTATTATTGTTGTTGTTACTATTATTATTAACTACTACTATCATTTCAAACATTGTAATTCCTTGCAGTACTATATTATGTAATATTACATTCTATTATGCACTAATCTATAAATTCTATAAATAAATGTATCTATTTTGCTTTTTAATAAAACTTTTACTAAAACAATACAAGGCAATGACAAATATCACTTATAATCATAATTCATTTCATAATTAAATGCACTAAAATGCTAAACATGTTACTATTGTTATTATTATTATCATAGTCATTATTTATATTATTGTTGTTGTTACTATTATTATTAACTACTATTATTGTTTCAAACATTGCAATTTCTTCCAGTATTGTTATATTGTGCGTTATTCTTGTTATTTATTTAGCTTTTTAATAAAAAACGTACTGAAATATTACATCAATGAAAAAATATCCTTTACAATAAATTACTTTTATAGTAAGAAGCACTAAAATGCCAAACTGAGGATTGTGCCCAACTTGGCAACCCTGAAATTGTTGCTGGCTCCATTTGAACAGCAGATGCAGAGGAAACTGTATCTTTTTGATCACTATTTTAAAACGTAAAACTAGTTTTTGGTTACCTCCTTTCACTGGGTTTTAAGCTGCCCTCTGGGCAGTTCTCTAGCCTGCATGCTCAAAATGTGAGAAAGGCAACTGTGTGTTACTGGAGACAAGCTGGTATTTAATGTTTTCCCCACTGAGGTGTGTGCATTCCTACAAGTAGTGAATGTGCTGGTTGTTCCACTGGCTTTTCTATTTTCGAATATCTTAAATGATCAAATCAATTATTTGTTGCAGCCTGTAGAGAATATTTTTTGTTATTGTGATAAACTACATCACAATGTAGGGCTGAAAGATTCATCATTTCATATCGCAATCGCAATTTTAAAGAGTGCAATATTCAAATCGCAAGATCTGCAATTTTTATTATAGCCTAAATTATCATTAACAAGTTTTATGCAGGGAAATTTAACCGAATAACAAGTTTGTGATCTTCTTGTAGACGAGTTAGACCAATCAGAAGCAGCTAAACACCCAATCACAACACACATAACTGGCAGTCTGGCACAGCATGTTCAGCGTTCAAGCCTCAATCCAGAAAAGCGGATTTTCGGTCTTCCTGGCCAAAACAATAACAGGCCTGGACCTTAATTTAATTAAAAAATCATGATTTAAATCACAGTTGCAATACTGGTCAGAAAAACTGCAACAATATGTTTCCCCTGAATCGTTCAGCCCTACCCCAATGTGTTTCATGAATATTGTTAGTACTGAAGAGAACACTGAACTGCATGTCTCATTACAAAGCAAACTCTGTGAAATATAGAATAAAAAGCAATCTTCTCAACGTTTTCAACAGTATTTCTTAAAATCTGACACTACTGGTGCTTTTTTATCTGTTTCAATTCACCAAACCCCAGAAAACAGAAAATATCGCGATACATATCGCGTCTTCAGGTATCGTGATGTTTCGGTTTTTCCCACACCGCCCACCTCCATTAGTAACAGTACGTACAGGCTGATTACCTGGGCTGGAAAGGCGAAAGTAAACCAGAAAACCTCATTTCCCGAGTTCAGTCCCGGAGCCGAAGTCCTCCGGCAGGTCATGTCAGCTGTTAATCTGCTGCCTTGCATTTATCTATGAGATGATCAGTTTTTCTTTATCACCAGTTCAAACCAGCTCGCCGGCTAGTTCAGCTAGCTAGCAAAGTAGCCACAAGGCTAGCGCATCACTCGCACTACTTTAGGCCTCAGCAAACGCCGCGGCTGTGGAAACGTTAACGGGAATCACGGCTTACCTCTATTTTGTCCACATTCCGGGCGCATCCCACCACCTTCATGCCCTGCTGGACCAGAGCCCGAGCCACAGCCGCTCCGATGCCGACAGAAGCTCCTGTCACCAGCGCCACTCTGCCTTTCCACCGCTCCATCGGCGAGCTGCTGCGGGGCTTCTCCAGATTACGGCTCAGTGTGTCGGTGTGTGTGTATATGTGTGTCTGCCGCGCAGAGACAGATTATCAGCGCGACTATCGGTAAAAGTCAGCGGCGTGTCAGGCGGCGCAGGGCGGGCAGATGTAGCGCTCAGCCCTCCTCGGTCCTCTTGCCGGAGCAGCCAGGAAAAGGCAGTGATAAGGAAGCCCCAATCCCTGCGCTCGGGATTAAATATTAGATGGCAAGCAGAAAGAAGAAGACTTGGGTTGTTGTCGCCGCTCGCACTGTTTTAGGCTCGGCTGATGGCTTGAATTGTGTGAAAACCAAACTTTTTTTATTTTATTGTTTTATATATTTTTAACACTGGCGACTGACCGTTGACCGTTACAATGCCACTTTTACAATTAAGCCAAATATTAAGTAGAACATGTTTTACGAAAGGCTTTGTAACAGCGTGGTGGGATTATTTGGCCTAGCGCGCCATCTAGCGGACGATAAATAGAAACGTAATTTTACGTGTAAAACGTTTTACGAGCCCCAACGTAGCGATGCAGTGATTTTTATTAATAAGCCGTGACCACAAGTTACTATATTGAGGCCACGCGCTAAGTCTCTCATAACTAGTGGCCTCGAGATATTAATTTGTGGCCATGCCTTATTAAAAAAAAATCACCATGTCACCTTAAGGGGCTCCATGCATTTGACATCTATGTAAAAAAGTAAAATCTTACTACCTGAATATTTTTTCTGTCTATAAAAATTAGATTTGTTTAAGCATGTTTGAGTTTCTAAGCATGAAGGAAAAACAGCTGTGAGAGGCAGTTAAATCAACATACAATTTCTTTGCTAGTTTCTCAGATTTAAAGGGGAGCTTCATCAATTTTTCAAAAAATTCTACATAATTAAACAGTTGAGATGTAAACAAAGTTATTCAGAGTGCTTTAGTGTGAAATGCTCCATTCTAGAGAAAGTTGCCGAGTCAGAATTGTTCACAGTGGTGGTGATAGGAACCAGACGTCTGAGAAGTTTAATGCCTCTGAAAGCTCCCTCACAGAAAATTATTACATAATGTGGTTAGATATATGCTGCATGATGTCTGACACACTGTTTTATGATAAAGTATTGTCTTTACTTGTATTTTAATCCATTTATTTTAATCCAAAGATTTTTCAGATTTATGACTATTTCACTGTAATCAACATTACATATATAAAGTCAGAGGGCATGTGTAGGTTCACTGGTTTTGGATGGCAAATAAAAAGGCTATATTAGTGTTGTAGACATGGTGACCCCTGGTTCCTATCACCACCAATGTAAAAAAAACAGTTTCTAAGTTTCTCCATAATTAACGACCTCAAGGACTCAATTATTCAGAAATTTTGGTGGAATTCCCCTTTAAGCACAGCTGAAGCACGGTTGTATGGCTTGAAGTATGCAAAAACGATACCTTTTTTTTAAAAAAAAAAAAACATTAACATTTGTGAGTGACAGCTGACAGTTACAATGCCCATTTTATAATGAAGCCCGATAGTAAGTAATACGTTTTACAAAAAGCTTGGTAAAGGCTTTATGGGATTGTTTGGCATAGCGCGCCATCTAGCGGAAAATAAATAGATTGAAATGTAAATTTACGTGCAGGACATTTGACTATGTAGAACAGTGAAATCTTACGACAATTTTTTTTTCTATCTATAAAAACAGGCAGAATTTATTTAAACATGTTTGAGTTTCTAAGCATGAAAAAAAAATGTGGTAGGTAGTTAACTTTGGACATTCAATTTCTTTGCTAGTTTCTCAGATTTAAAGGGAAACTCCACCATTAAAAAAAAATTATAGAATTAAATGGTTAAGGGTGTAAGCAAAGTCATTCAGTGTGGTTTGGTATGAAATACTCAATTTCAGAAAAACTTACTCAGAATTGTTCACAGTGGAGGTGATGGGAACCAGACAGCTGAAAAGTTAAGTACATTAGTTAAGAATGCGTTGCCTGATCCCCGAGACATGAGAAGGATAATATGGATAATATGCAGGATACTGTAAGGCAAATATAACACAGGACAAAAGTATTCTGACCACTACATTTCCCATTATTAACATTACATATAAAAACTCAGACTGAGTAGCAAAAATGAATGTATGTGTGTTGTAGATATCACAGCCCCTGGTTCCCATCACCACCACTGTTTAAAAATAAATAAATAAATAAATATCAGAGTTCATGTTTTCCTCTAATGAATCATTTCACCACAAATAACAACATTAAAATGTCCTTTAGGGCACAATATTTCAGAGGAGAAAAAAAATAAATAAATAAACAACCCACAGTCTTCTGATGCATATTAATAAATATTCTTTATTATGTAAATTTTGCACATTGCGCTCAACATTACACTCAAACCTCCTTATAAATGGATGTTTATCTTTCTGTAAAATCTTTATATTCAGATAATTTTATTTCTGTACACATTTATTGGTACAATTTTTTGCCACTAAAAGCGTCACAGTCAGTGAAACGAACTGGGAAAACAAAGAGAAATGTTATAGAAACGATAAGACAAGAAGACTACCGATATCTAACCCTACAGTCACAGCTTGCAAAGCCTGATTATCAATTCCACTGCTTCATAACCCATTCCTTAAATCTATAAGTCCGGAAACTGAAATCAAACAGAAATAAACCACCAGTTTCAGTGAAGGAAAGTGGATGAATGAGTGAGGGATTGGGGGGTGAAAAGTGTGTGTTAAAGACAGAGAGAGCGCGAGAGAGAGACATGGGGATTGAAATGACAGATGTGGAAGGTGCATGTGAACATTTACCTTTTCCCAACAAACAAACTTAAACCTTCCACTGAACGAGACACGGCTTCAAAACTCATTCTTTTTTGCACCAATTTAATTTTTTTTCTCCATCTTGAAAAAAGCGGCACAGCAGTGGTAATCGTGAGTGTTTTTTCCATCCGTAAAAATTGTGTTTTCAGAGTGTGTCGCTCAGTTGACACTGGTAGTAGGCAGCCACTCTCCTCTACACACACTAGAGTGGCAGTATTTGGTGAAGCGGTCCTTCAGGTGCTGCCTGTACTGGTCTCGTGTGCTGTAGAAAGACTTGTTCTCCTCCACGAATGACTGGATCTCGTCCTGCGTTAGGCAGTTCTCTTCATCTAATGACGCTTCTGCTTCATCCTGTTTGTCCGCACATTTTTGAAATATCAAAAATAAAAATGGTCAGTTTTTCAATTATAATTTTATTTTACAGTTAATAACTATTCATTTGTTACAAAACCATGACAAAATACACAAGTTCAATAAAAAAAAAATGTTTTTATGATAACTTACTATATTAACACAACTCAAGTGATGTGTATGATCATACGTACACTGTGTATTTTCCAAGTATCTGAACATGGACTAGACATTTACATGTACTCAAAAGACATTTTTAATTTTTTTTTTTTTGGGTAAAATACTTCTGCATTACAGAATGGAGGTTAAAAAGGATGATGCACTAAATTCCTAAAGAATCACAACTGAATCAAATTGAGAGATTTTTTTTTTTTTAGTTATATATTTCAGTAATGCATAATTTGTGCCATCCTGAACAGTCGCCTTAGGGCTAGTGCTCAGGGCCCGTCCACTCACCAGCAGCTCCATGAGGCTCTTGGTGGTGCAGTCTCCCTGTGCGGATATGTCTGCTGGAGGAGGCTGGCCGAGGACCAGACCACCGCTGCCTTTCTGCTGCTGATCAGTCCACGGCAATTGCGAAGCGATACTAGTGAACGATCCACAGCACAGCTTCGGACACATTGTCTCTTGGCTCCGGCAGCTGTGCGTGGATGATGTGGTGGGGTCATGGGCGCTTTCCAAGCCAGACAAACCTCTTCGACTGCTTTCTGACATGCAGCTTTCTGACTTTGAACCCTGCCACAGAAAAGAAGCACACAGCTTTAGAAGAATGAACGTCTGATATTAACCAAAAATGCATCACATTCCTGACTACAAATCAATACTGTTTAATTGCGGTTTATGCATTGATTCTTATTGCCATTGTTCACCTTCACCAATGTGTTCCTTAATCGTACAAGCTGGAGATGTTCTGACAAGGAGGACATCTGAGGATTATTCTAAACTGGTGGAATCCCTTACGCCATTTTCAGAAGTTTAACGGGAATTAAATGGGAAGGGGAAGTGTGAATGTAAGCCATAGTTGAAATCCTGGTGATAATAGTGCTGTAACCTACCTGGATACCTTAGTACAATTTGAAGGCTCATGTATGAACAGAAGCCAATTCGTAATGTTTACAGGCTGCAAAACAGAACCAAGTGACTGTGCAAAAACAATGCTGCATGGCCAGCAAGGTCTTTTTTTTTCTTTTTTTAAACGCGTTTTTGTGAGAAATACACATGGTTGTATTTCACCACGATTCCGAAATTAAGGAACTGTTGATGGTGTCACATCCTTTATAAAGTCCAAGTTACACTATGTGACTTTCACATTGATTTTACCCTCAATTCTGGGTCTGTCCAAGTCTGTGCTGGTTGGATCTATTCTAAGGATTATGGAATGGTGAGTCGAGCACTAGGAGTAGCGTGTGAGAGGCACAGAATTCTTGGTTTCCGGTGGAGTTTCAGATCAGTTGAAGTGCATTAAAAATGGTATATAAATAAATATATATAAATCTATATATAAATCTGGTATAATCTATTTGTGCATACTGAAGCCATATTACAGAAACATAAGTCTGCAATCTTATCTGTTTAGTCACCATGACAGTAAGGTCTGGAGGATATCCATCTAAAAATAAATAAAAAAAAACTGAGGAGTGATTATCGATAATTACATTTTTACATTATTTATCATTATTTTGATTACAGGTTTATGTTTCAGCTGTGCGTGGAATGTAAGTTGCTTGATAAGAGACATGACAGTTGATTGTCAACTTTGATTGAGCAGGTTAAGATGTCTTAACTGGAGATAAGATGCTGCAAGATAAAATTCTTAAATTAAGATTTGCTTCTGTGATAACACTTTTCACAAATTCGTATCTTGACGTGTTAGATCCTAAGTTAAGGTGTTTATGTAATATGGCCCCTGGTCAACAACTCAATCTGAATTTACTCTTCCAACAGGAAATAAAACTTAGAGCACAAGAGAAGTAAATACAGCAAATAAATAAAGAAAACTCCACCTGTGGCAAAGCTTT